AATAATAATAATAATAAACATAATAAAAGTAACGGTAAAATCACAGATTGAGATGGTAGCTAGTAGTATGTCCACATAGTATGACTAAAGTATGGCTTTGCTTTCTATGTCCAAGGTGACAATGCAGTGTTATACTTTGTATCTGATGGTATGCCAATGATGAACTTACTGTATTAAAACTTGAGCATTTTATGCCACTTCTTCCCATAAATCAAAAAAGTGCATGAACACAATTTTCATCCTTTCTTACTCAGAATTCATTGGAATTACATCTTTATGAAGTGTAATGTTTACCAAATCATGCACACACACAAAAAACAAAACAAAACAAAAAAACCCAAACAAACAAAGAAAAAAGAAAACAAAAGAAAACGTAAGAAAAGAAAGAAAAATACACATCCTGTCTACTGAAAGGATACGTACAGTATTAGGTACTCTCAGAGAGTCTAAGATCACGAAGATTTGTTTTGCTTTTAATGCATAGTGAAAATGTTGGCACTTCATCCCATGCTATTGTCTGCATTGCCTATACTCCACAGATACTGCCAGTGCTTGAAAAGAATGACAGGGAATCGTAGGATTGTGCTGTTTAATTTGAAGTCAGCAGGTTTTTAAGGCTTTCTGCTAACAATAATTGCTTTCATACATTTCTGTCTATCAGCAGTATTTGTAAATGAAGTGAAATTGCAATGATCAGGTCAGCTCTTTAGTCACATGGGTAAACTTTCACTCTCCAAAGTCAAAATGTAATTTTAAAATAAAGAAATAAGATACCAATATCCTCGATAGTCTAAATATAATTCGCAGCTAATTAGGAACTTCCTCTAGATTCAGATTGAATTATGTAGGGGAAAATACTATTGACGATAACAATAAATTCTTACTGCATCCGTACAAAAGACGACAGAGAAAATGACAAATACAGCGTGCCATAGCATATTCAACCTTCCCCCAAACTTCTGGAGACGATACCTTTCTGAAAACGTGAGAAAAGGAGAGCCACTGAAGAAAGCATGAGAACTAGCAGCTAGCTTTCTTTCCGTCTGCTGACATATCGTGGTATAGCATTCAGGCGAACCCAGATCATCATGGACTTGACACTGTAGCTCAGATTTTGGTCAAGACTAGCTCCAGCTTCAGAAGACAAGTGCAGCACATTGCTCAAATAATTTTTTTTTTTTTAAAGCTGCATTTACTGTAATTTTAAAAATCCAGTTTGGCTATCTGAATCCTGCATAGCCAAGAGGACACCGCAATTTTTATGAAAATGTAATTTTTATTCTTCTGATTAGGAAAAGACTAATTATATTTTACAGCTACAAACAAGTTTGGTTTTTTTTCCTTTGCCTCAGCACTGTGAGGTGAAGACGCTTTCTTCCACTATATCTAAGATCATTCAAAAAGTGCTTTTCAGGACAGATGTCGAATACAGGCAGAAAACTTTGTATACTGGAAAGGGGATTTTTGGGGACAGAATGGACTAAGAAAAGAATAAATTTAGGGACTAATGCCACTTAAAGTAAGACCGAGACATGGCAACATAGGATGCTGAAGGTTTCATTTTTACTCTATGGAGAGTGAAATGCTTCCGCTTTAATAAGCTGACCATATTCCAAAGTTAGTGTGGTTGATACAATATTGTGCATGAATTACTGGCCTCACCCTGCAAGAACGGTATTTGATTTGTGCAAACGTCCCTTGCTGCAATTTAGAGAAACAACAACCTGGCACGTTGATTACTGGTGCAGGGTACTTATTGTTTCTGTAAGGAAAGCATGAAGAATAGGGTTTGCTTTTTTGGGTATCACTTCTTGGAGTGAGTACCTAAAATAGATGTTGTAGTTTTCTGAAGTATGAAACAAAATCTAGTTATTGGTTAAAAAGTATATAAAACAAAAAAAAAAAGCTCGAAGCTTATGAAGTGACTCCACAGAGTTCAGACCTTTAGCAGTATAAACATAATATAAACTTCATTGTCTGTAGTATTGTGCCATGACATTAGTCTCACTAAGACAAAATGCCACTTTGCAGCAAGCAATAAATCTGACGAAGCATTTTTAAACATAATGCCCTAACTTGCTAAGACAGGCTTTTACACGCTTCCAAACTCTTCTCCCTGAAAATTAACCCCGTTGATTCTCCAAATGTTAAGGGTCTCGGGCAAAAGTAAACCAAAGGCTGAAGTAAAATAACCATCCCCTTGGAACTGAACGAAAACTTAAATCCAGGAGGGATCACAGTCTAATTTCATATACATATATATGTATGCGATACACATATATATGAAATTAAAATAGAGACACACATGACTTGGGCATCAGAAGGGGACTGCTACTTTCATACATTCATAAATAGCTGCTGAACTCTCTACTCATGAAGAAGCTCTTGTAGGCAGTTTGGGGATTTGAAAATCTCGGGGACCTCACTGTCCAGCTTACAGATGACCTTGTATATGGCCTTCTTCCAGGAAGGATCAACATCTTTGCCTGCGATAATGGCATTGAAAAACTCCCGTAACGTGATCTGAGCCACTTCCAGGAATCTCTCTGGAACCTGCTGATACAAGGAGACAATGGCATTAATACAGTTTTCAATTTCAAGTCTCTGGTTCTTCAAAGGAAACTGAGCTAAGTTCTTTCTTTCAGAAAGGGGCTTACATAGCACCTGCATTTTCTAAATGTGGCAGCCTTCTATTCTCTTATGCAAAGCTGTTATATATAGTACTATAGCAATAACTTTTATAACATGTGTTAGAGATCTTTGTAAAGTCTACTGACAGAATGTAGGTAACAAAATGTTACTGTCTGAGTTTGGAGAGTTGGGGATTTATAGGATATAATTAGCAGGAGGGGAAACAAACACAATTGTCTTTAAGGAGAGAAATCTCTGCTTGATATTTTACCCGTGCATTTACGGCTATGTTCTCCTCTCCGTGTGGGAACTAATATGAAAGTTACGCATGCATAGAAAACCCTCTGTACCTCTGCGCTTAACTTTGGTCGCAACCAGTGCTGAAAGCTGTCAAAGAAATAGGGTATCTCTGAATGTTGTTCGTAGTTTGAAAACAAGCAAGCAAGCAAGCCTTCAGCTAATGATTTGCTTCTGTGGCTGCTGTGCATGAGACCCCCATAAGACGGCTTTCTTGAGAGAGATTATGGTCTTCCCTTCTTTTTCAGAAGCCTACAAATAAAACCCCAACCTCTTCAATGGGCTCGTTGTGCTCCCAGTGGCTACTGAGCTGGGATGCATCAAACTTATCTGGGTTTTCTAAATGTCACTGTCACTTTATGGGTGAGCCAAACGGCCAGCTAGCGGGGGCATGCCACTCTCGGAAACCCCTGAACAACGGGTGAATGTTAAAAAACACAGTTACCTCCAAACTTTGGTAATTCATCCTAAATAGTTGTCTCAGGCAACAGCACCACCTTTTTAACCTCTCCCTTAAATGATTCAAAAGCAATCACTATAATGAACCATAGGTCAGTTGTAAGGTTGAGGTCATCTCCATAAAGGTATTATTTTCCATTTTTATTACGGAAATATGGCTTCAGAGCTCCAGAACTGCTAATACACGGCCGGCCAGTAGCCAGCATGCTTATAATAGCAAGTATTCCCTCACTGCTATTCTTTGCCCACTCTGGCAAAAGGAGTTCTCCGACCTGCAGTAGAGGCTGCTTCAACCATTCCTGTGGCCAACAGACACCTGGGCAGATCTCACTCATTTACTGAATCCATGTCACATTGCCAGATCAGGGCCAGCACGTTATCCTCTACTTCAGGCTTTTGTTCTTCTCCCTTTAGAAGCCACTTTCAGAAAATTTGTCTGGAAATGTGCATGTTTAACCTGATACGATAGAGCTCTGGAGCCTCACTCACCTATCACCGTTGGGGAAACACTAGCAGTTTGCTAGCCACGTTTTGCCATCAGATAAGCATGAGATCAGCTCTCCCTGACACCTAGCTGACAAACTCCGCTTCCAGAAGCCCCGCAGCCTGCAGAAGTCCTCTGTCTACCTCCGAGAGTGAAATCCAGCCCCCACACATTTTTCTCTGCTCCCAAAGACAGGCTGCCTTCTGTGGAAATTTTTCATTCAATGGACCGCACAGAAAGAAGCATTTTTACAGATGTACTATTCCAGCAATAATTATGAGGGAAGAAAATAACTATTATGTTTCACTTATTCCAGCTCAAAGAAATAACTGAAAACTTCACAGAACCACTCTGCTGTTTGGGCACTTGGTAATACGTCTACAGAAGATACCATGCTTGTCTCATTCTTGCATTGCTATAAAAAATGATACACTTCATTTCATGCAGTTCAAACAACTGCTCATGTGCTGTTCATCACGCTTGGTATTGCTGGGCGCTAACCAACGGGAAGAAGTTGTTGACTACATGATACTAGAAAGCAAGAAATGTAGTAGATAACCAAATTTTTGCTGTACACACTAATGTTAGCTCACGGGGGCAAAACCTGTTGTTTTTTGCCTTTGTGCTTGGGAAAAAGAGCTCACACCGTTCAATTTTGGTGTCCACTCCAGAGGACTAACATTAGATGCCTTTCTTCCTTTCCAAGTCACTGGACATGGGAGGGAGGCGATTACAAGCACCTCCATGAGAAGCATAAAGTCCAAATGCAAAAAGTCCCACCTCTCCCTACATGGTTACACTCATGACAACTTTAAGCATGGAAGTGACAACCTGAGTTTTAAGCTGAGCCTCTGCCATTCAATTTCTACCTGTGCATATGAAAGTTTTCCAGGTAGGGGATGCTGCTTTTCCATGGAGTAGGCAGTGTGAAACCCCTGAGCCACTAGCTTCCAGGCCTCCCATGCCCGTAAAGACACACAGGCTTTTCTTTTAGGCTAGGAGTTAGCTTTTAAGGTGCAACTTCATTGTACCTGAGTCACATCTGCAGTGCCGGGCCCCTTTGAACCCGGTACAACAGGCTGCAGAGAGCAGCCCACAAACATAATAGCGAACGAAGCCCTGTGGGGGCTTTGAAAAGACCTCATAATGCCGAGTTCCCAAAGATCTCCCCTACTCCACAGGCATTAAAGCCATTCATAGCTCTTTCCTTTTGGGATGTTATTAGCAATTTTTCATGTCAGACTGGATTACACACGTTACTTTGCATGTTGTAATGTGAATAGCACTGTGATTAATCCCCACAGGATAGTATGTCGGCCAACATTTTTCCTTTCTAGAAAGAGTAACCGCAAAGTGTTGTTGTTGTTTTTTTTTTAATAAAGAAAATACCAGTGAAGTCCAGAGCCTGAAAAAAAATATTTAAATGGATGGGCACTTAGATTTTTCACTGGACAATAATCAGTCAGCCATGTTAATCATGTGTCTGGGGGTAGCATTTCCCTGACCCTAAGCGATGGCGACCTATTCAGCACATCTTTACACCTAACTGACTGAACATCTCTGAAGTAGGAACATCTGCAGAAAATGCTTCAGTGACAAATAAACTCCATCTACATTGCTTTTAATAGAACCAACAATCCCTAGTATGAACCCAGGGCATTTTCTTAGCATCAGGTGGCAGCAGTCAATCAAAGAATCACACTGTACATTCACCAGGAGGAAAGACAATGAGGTCTGCTCAGGGGAAGGCTAGGTGGGTTTCAGGCTGAAGCGTCCACATCAGACTGATTTAGAAAGAAATCACACTTTGCCGCATGCTTTGTCAATGTAACTTAGCTTTGCTGCCAAGGAAAAAGTCACAGGCCAAACTTTGGGCTAGTGTAAATCAGCAGAGCTCTACCAGCCTCAGTGCGGTTATGCTGATTTACACCTGGTACGCATCAGTCCCATACCTCCTAACGCAGTCCAACAACCACCACAGTGCCCCTTCTCAAGCCTTAGCCACGTTAGCACATCCCCTTCATCTACGAAAACTGGGAGGGAATTAAAGCTCTCATCTGCTCTTGTCTATTTATGCTGTTTTAACTACTGGCATTTTCCTTGGCTTGAACAACAAACCTGAGCTATTTCACTCCTGGGTTTGCATGTGCAACTACCATGCAGAACCATTTGGATTAGCACTGTGGGGGAGTGCTTTGTTAAAAATACTCAGCACAAACTATTTCTATGTGAGTAAAAGTATAGTTCCAATGGCTCAAAAGTTGGAGCCAAGTCAGACCTAACTCACACTTCTTTCACACAGAAGCATATGCAGTTGCAGAAAGCGATACGGTTTAAAAATACTTGTTGAATTTCTTTTCAAGGAAAACATTACCAAAAAGACAGTGGTGATTCAGAAGGTGAGGGCAGATCCTCAGCAAGTCTAAGTCAGCATTGCTCGAGGAAAATCAGTGAAGCAACACTGATTTTAAGCCAACAAAGAGGATCAGGCTTCCCTTTCTGATGGCATGCATGGACTTTAAAAATCACCGCTGGGAAGGAGGGCACACTAGAAGTAGCCCTGTGTCTCAAGTTGGTGGCCGATCAGTGGCCCTTCACTGTTTTTCTCATTATTGGGTTGTATTGTATCTTGTATCTTTTATTAGTTAATTCATTTATTTTTGGGGTTGTGCAGCAAAGACTTTTTCTCCCTTCCCTCCCATTCCCCTCATCTCCTCCCCTCCCTGAGCCCTCCTCCTCCTCCTCTTCCCAGTTGCTTTACCTTCAAGGATGATTTGTTTTATTAAACTGACTGTCCCCAGCCTCTGCAGTACATAATAAAAGCCTGACATAGCAGCCTGCCTGCCTTCTGTGTCCTGCAGATACTCATCATAAGTGTCAGGACATACCAAGGTTAGCGGTCACTGGAAGTGCGCTCACTGGCTCAAGCCTTGCCAAACATGCTTGGCAGCTGAATGAATGTCACAGAGACTAGAAGGGGAATTACAAAGGTTAGAAAGAAGACAGCCTCCCTCTCTCTTTTTTTCTGGAGATATATAAGCTGATTTTTCACACTTCTGAAATAAACATCAGCTCATTCACAGTCCCTTTCCAGCACCTAAATCTCTCCCATTGTCAAACAAACCTTTAATTTCTACCCAAGCCTTATTTCTTCATCAGCAAAATAAGATGCTTAATTCTCTCTTAATAGAAAAGGGGAAAAACACAAAACCAAATGACAAAACAAGTCACCGGTCCGCTCAAAGATTTATATGTGTATTTCATGTCGTTAATCCTATTAAGGGTGGGCTTCTTTACAGTTAATCTTTTAAACTTTCAAAAATTCTTGCTCAAGTGGTAAATCTAGATGATAGAAAAAGCAATACAGATGTAAAGATCACAGAATTGTGAAAGTCAAGTTAAAACCGATATTCCAGAGAATTGTGTTTTGTTTTTTTACTATAAAAGGGCAATAAAATGCTGACTGTAAGAAGACAATGTCAAGGAGAAAAGGGTATTGGTATTTTGGATACTCTTGACTGCTCGCCTTGGAGAGAGAGTTATTCTTGTCACAAACCCTTTTGTCTGCATCTGCTGACTGCTTGCCTGTAGCCAGCAGCATACTTTAACTGTTTTGTCACCTCCTAACATCACATGCATCAGCTGTTGTGCTTTTGTTACGGGTATTGTAGAGCTAATCCAC